GCAATTCCTCAGAACAATCCAGATTCAGTTCCCCGATTTGCAACTGCCCACTTTATCTGGGAAGGAGCCCCCACTGTGTATCTTGTGAGCTGCTGTTCAGTCACCTTTAGAACAGAAGGACATGCTGTCGTCGGGGAAGACAGGAATACAATTGAAGGAAAGCCGGATACAAGTCGGAGGGAGAAAGGGATAGAAGCAAATACAAGAATTACACGACAGATGGCAGAATTCTGAGGAGCACTGACATGCAGAGGGATCTGGGCGTACAGGTCCACAGATCCCTGAAAGTGGAATACAGGTGGATAAGGTGGTCAAGAAGGCATACAGCACGCCTGCCTTCATTGGCTGGGGCATCGAATACAAAAGTTCGCGAGTTATATTACAGCTTTAGTTGGTTTATTGCACACAGTTCTGATCGCCATGCTACCAAAAGGACGTGGATACTTTGGAGTGGGTGCAGGGAAGGTTTACCAGGACGTTCCCTGGTTTGGAGGGCTTTAGTTATGAGGAGAAGTTGGATAAACTCGGATTGTTTTCAGCGGAAAGACAGAGGCTGGGGGGGGGGGCGACCCGGAGGAAGGCAGCAGAGTGGCGATGCTGATTGGCTGAGGTGGGGAAGATTTGCATCAGTGCAGTCACTGCTTCCAGAAGGTGGACTTCATCAAGACACCCTCCATATTCAAGGGAAGATACGGTCCCCAGATGGGGAGGGGGTTTTAGTTGCGACGGGCAGCATGTCGGTGCGGGATCGGAGGGCCAAATGGCCTGTTCCTGTGCTGTAACTGTCTTTGTTCTGATGGGGGTCTACAAAATTACGACAGGCACAGAGAGGGTGGATAGTCAGAGGTTTTTTTCTCTAGGTTGGAAAGGTCAACCACAAGAGGTTCAAGGGGAGGGGGGAAAAGTTTAGGGGTGAAACGTGGGGGAAAATGTTTCATACGGAGGGCGGTAGGTGCCTGGTACACACTGCCAGCAGAGGTGGTGGAAAGCAGGCGCATTGGCAACGTTTAAGGCTTATCTGGATAGACACACGAACAGGAGGCGAACAGAGGGTCTAAGTAAGGATTAGGAGTCGGCACAGGCTTGGTGGGCCGAAAGGCCTGTTCCTGTGCTGTATTTTATTGATATGCTGATTGCGGGGAGATGAAGAGGGGCCAGTGGAGGCTCACATACGGCATAAATACTGATGGAGACCAACTGAGCCGACTGGCCCAGCCCTGTGCTGGAGAGCCAACGGAACAGAGACAAATGTATCTATTTTAGATCCACCTGTAGTGGCAGGACGAACACTATTCAACGTCCAGGATGAGATAAAAATGTCCTTCATCAGTTTCTCAGGATCATTTCAGTGGAAATGTGTAGTCTCAGGCTGAAAGAGCATCAGCCCCACTGGAAGCGAAGTGGGTGACAGCGAGCAGTCCAGCAGAAAGGGGACCCTCTGGCGCTCCTGCTCCACCCACTGTCTGAATGGACACGGTTCAGTCCTGGATGTGACTCTCAACAGCAGCAGTAACAGCAGAATCCAACCCCCCAGCGCCATCACTTATGGAGTTGCTGGTGTCTCCGCAGATTGCAAGACTGAGTGAAGCCCTTCCCACACACCGAGCAGGTGAACGGCCTCTCCTTGGTGTGAACCCGCTGGTGTTTCCGCAGGGTGGAGGAATCACAGAAGCCATTCCCGCACACCGAGCAGGTGAACGGTTTCTCCCCGGTGTGGACGCGGAAGTGCAGCAGCAGGTGGTACGACCGCGTGAAGCCCTTCCCGCACACGGAGCAAGTGAATGGTTTCTCCCCGGTGTGGATGCGCTGGTGTAACAGCAAGTGGTGCGATTGAGTGAATCCTTGGCCACACACGGGACAGATGAACGGCTTCTCCCCGGTGTGAACGCGCTGGTGTACCAGGAGGTGATGCGACTGAGTGAAGCCTTTCCCGCACTGCGTGCAGGTGAATGGCCTCTGCCCTGTGTGGAGGCGCCGGTGGATTTCCAGCGCAGATGGAGAAGGGAAACCGTTCCCACATTCCCCACATTTCCATGGCTTCTCCATGGGGTGGGTGTCCTTGTCTCTCTCCAGGTTCAACGATCAGTTGAAAATCCGCCCACACGTATGTTGTGTGATTTCTTTTTTCAGTCTGTGTTACCGGTTAACCCTCTGATAACTGGAACACTTCTCTCAGTCTGTGTAATAGGTTGAAACTTGTTTCACTGTCACTACTCTGGAATACTGGCACTTGGTGTGTGGGTATGTGTGACTCTCAGTGATTTTCTATTCACGCTGGTGTTTAAAACCTAATGTAGCAGACAGAACAGACAAACCTCACTTCTCCTCTTCGTTTTCAAGGCCATCAATATTCACGTCCGGGTGAATCAACAGACTGTCAGACCTTGTCATGATAGTTGGTTTGAGATTTCTGTTTCCAAATTCTTCTCTTCTAATATCCTGTGAAAGGAGTTTGCAAAAGTCATCACTGTCAGTCCACGATAGAAAATCATAACACATATTTGTAGTTTCTGTGGAACAGTCTCTCCTCTCTTAATCTCCAAGACCTATACGTCGATCTCTATGTAGCTGTAAACCTGCAGGGTAATGGGGAGTCGAGAGTGAACGGGGCTGACTGGATTCCTCCACTAAGAGTTGGCACATACTGAAGTTGCTGAATTGACCTCTTCTGTGTGGTATTTACTCTCTTACTGAAGACGGATAAAATCCTGCAGTACGGTACTACAAGACCAGAAATAACTGCAAATGAAGCATTTAGATCCACAAACACTACATCAAATATGTCACATATAACCTAGACTTATCTCTGTCTTATATTAACACACAGTTCTCTTACATTTCAGTCTTCTTCTGGGAAAGCTACACTTTCAGGTGTGAATTTTTGGAAAGAAGCAGTCTTTTTGAACTTCTTCTGCGTCATACTCACTCTGTTACTGGAAATACATCCAGTATTATACTACAAGACCAAGATTCATGATAAATGACATGAGGCATATCTTCGCCCTATTTTAATTTTCTGTGCCATAAATATTTCAACGAATGTTAATGTTTTTACCAGTCGAGACAAAGACAGGCTGAAACTAACCTTGGCAGAGTCTGCTCCCTCCCTTGGATTCACTCCAGTTGCAATAAGTGAACAGTTTTCCCCCCTCTCTCCCTCTCCCAGGATGAGAAATGGAAAGGGGGAGACATTGCTCCCAGATGCTGCCCAGAGGATGCAGTTTCACTCTGAAGCTCATTGGATAACTTCCGCATTGTGACGTCTACAATGGAGGCGCGTCATGTTTGGCAAAGCCAATTAGAATCGCGGTGGTCAACGGTGACGTCCACGCGTTCCAGGCCGTTTGTCTTCCATTGGACAGTTGCCCATTGCGTCACCTGGTCACGGGTGCCCCATGTCAGCGTATTAACCAATGGGAAGCCCTGGAGGACCGGAAGGCGTCAGGTCCTCCTGCCAATCGGAGCCCCAGTGTCTGAATGCGGAAGTTGGACAATGAGATCCTGAAGCTGCCTGTTTCTGCTCAGCAAAGCTGCTGCTGCTGCTCCTCTCTGTCTGAATGAAGATGGAGCTTCACCCCCAGACTGCAACTTCCTCCTCTGTCCAACATCCGTGAGCACAACACTTTGTTTTTTAAAGGATGGCATCTTTCCTGAACATCACAATTAAAAAGAGGTATCTTCCCCACAAGATGGTTAATTTCTAAGGAGACAGTAAGACAATAGAGGATCGGGTCACGCCTCAAGTTGTTATTTGGCACGTATTACTTATCTTATCTAGATACATAATTTATGGATCTCTCATAACGTAGATTTGTTATTCTTTCCTGATTTTGATGTAGGACTGAATCTATTTCATATGCAGTATTTAGAACAGAGAGTTCGAGGGTACAGGTTCATAGCTCCTCGTCGGAGGAGTAGACAGTGCGGTGAAGAAGGTTTTTGGCATGCGTCAGAGTACTGAGTATAGGAGTTGGAGCATCTCGTTGCAGCTGTACAAGACATCGGTGAGGCTACGTTTGGAGTATTGCGTGCCGTTCTGGTTGCACTACTATAAAAAGGATATTATTAAACTAGAAAGAGTGCAGAAAGTATTTACTAGGATGCTACCTGGCCTGGAGGTTTTGAGTTATAAGGAGAGGCTGGATAGGCTGGGACTTTTTTTTTCCCCCCTGGAGTGTAGGTGACTGAGGGGTGACCTTGTAGAGATCTACAAAATCACGAGACACGTAGATAAGATACATAGCCAACAGTTTTTCCCGATAGCGGAGTCTAAAACTAGAGGGCATAGATTTAAGTAGGGAAGAGGTACAATAGGGTCCAGAGGGGCAATTATTTTTACACAGAGTGGTGAGTGTCTGGAGTGGGTTGCCAAAGCTAATGGAGGAAGCGAATACAATTTTGTCATTTAAGAAATGTTTAGACATGTACATTGATGGGAAATGTACGGAGGGATATGGACCAAATGCATGCAAATGGGATTAGATTAGATTAATTAAACTGGGCATCATGGGCAAATTGGGACAAAGGGCCTTTTTCCATGCTGTAAACATCTATGATTCTATTTCAAGACACAAGGTTAGAATCATAGAATCCCTACTGTGCGGAAGCAGGCCGTTCGTCCCATCGAGTCCACACCAACCCTCAGAATAGCATCCCATCACCCCCACCCCCCCACCCTATCCCTGTAAGCCTGCAATTCCCTTGGCACCTAGACTGCACATCCCTGGACACTATGGGCAATTTAGCATGGTCAATCCACCTAAACTGCACGTCTTTAGACTGGGCTGAAACGCACGCAGTCACAGGGAGAATGTGCAAACTGTACACAGACAGTTACCTGAGCGTGGAATTGAATTCGGGTCCCTGGTGCTATGAGGCAACAATAACAATTACGTAGCCACTGTGCCCACCATGGTTATTATGGTAGAAAAGGGTTTAATTTGATATTTTGGTTCCATGCAAAACCCTGTACCCCCTGTAGCGCTGCAAGTTTTTAAATTTTTGTTTCAAACGCACATTCAGTTTTGAAATCATTGATCCTTTGATGGGTGGAGAGGTAGATTTGCCAGATATTGCCAGGAATGGAGGGTTTGAGTTATGGGGAGAGACTGGATAGGCTGGGACTTTTTTCACTGGAGTGGAGGAGGTTGAGGGGTGACCTTGTAGTGGTTTATAGGGGCATAGATAAGATGAATGGCATGTGTCTTCTCCCTAAGGTGGGTGAGTTCAAGAGCGGGGTCATATTTTTAAGGTGAGAGGAGACAGATTTTAAAAAAGACATGCGTGGCAATTTTTTTCCCTCAGAGTGGTTCATATGTGGAAGGAGCTTCCAGAGGAAGTGGTGGATGCAGGTACAGTTACAACAATATAGGAAATGTTTTTGGAGGGATATGGGCCTAGTGCAGGCAAGTGGGACTAGTTTAGTTTGGGATTATGGTCAGTATGGCCTGTTTGGACTGAAGGGTCTGTTTCCATGCTCGATGATTCTATGACTCTGAGAGATCCAGGTTGTGTTAGTCACAAAAAGTGTTTGTGCTCACATACCCATTTATCTCTGATCAAGTGTTACGGTATATAATCCAACAGAATGTGTAGGAAGCATTTTCTTTTTTTGGTTTTGGGTATGTGGGAAGTAGAATTGCCTGTTCTTAATTTCTGACCATGATGACTTTGATAATCTCCTTATACAAGTTACGAGAAGGGAAGGATTTGCAGACAGAAATCTGAAAGCAAAAGTCATTGTAAGATCTGACACAGTTGCTCAGCTCACTGCCACCTGAATATCGTAAGTCTTTGGACCTAGAATGAGAAATGTCTATCTATTCTATCAGCTTCAAATGCACCAAGATGCGCACACATGCGGGCGCGCACTTGGGTGAGTGTGAAAGTGTTCCACTGAACCGATGGAGGGAAGACCTATTCTGAAGAAAACATCCTGTGGAAGGAGCTTGAGCCAGTTACACAAACCAAATGCTCATTGTACAATTGTTATTGTCCACTCCACACCCCCTTTAAAATACCTGAAGAAGGTAGTCTAGATCCTAAATTTTCTTATTTTAAAGGCAAATGTGAAGTGTCTCAGATGCAATGCAACTGGTCAAACTACTCAACATTAAGCAAAACACAATTTATTTGAACACTGTCGTTAAAATACAACCAGAGAAAGAGGAATTTAGAATACCTTAACAGATTAGAAACTTAATAGATACAGTAACTGTTCCAATACAGTAACATCCTATAAACACACCCCTTGGCAAAAAGACAAATTCAGACACAGATTCTCACATGCAGTTCTCCAATCCAGGAGGAATAAAAACATCAGAGAGCAACCAAGAGACATTCACTGAAGCTTCCAACTCTTTTGACAGTCCGAAGCCTTCTGCTTAAAACTAAACTTAAAAACTATTAAAAAAATTAGAAACTGAGAGAGCTGGCCACACCCAGGCTGCAGCTATTGTTCCAACTTCAAAACAAAAACCCCAAGGCGTCACAAGTTGCTTACTTTCTCAGGCGCAGCTCGGCACCTCTGCCTTACAACCTCTCTTCCACAAAAAAAAATCGGGACAAAATAACCTCTTGAAAGCCACAGCACTGTCTCACAATTCACGGTGCGGAGAGATCGTGTACGTATGAACTCGGTCCCAAATGATCTTTGAATCTGGAGGGGCATAAGGACGGGCGCACGTTGGGGAAAACGTGGAAGTGTGGGGATTGTGGGAATGGGTTCCGTTTCCCCATCAGCGCTGGAGATTCACCAGTGTGTGGGAAGGGATTCACTCAGTCCACACACCGACAGGTTCATACTGGAGAGAGAGTCTGTTTGCCTTCCCTGAGTGTGGGAAACAGTTTGAAAATTCATTTAAGCCTGCGGAGGCACTGGTGAGACCACACCAAGGTCGCTGTGAGCATGCGATGGGGCTCGCACAGTCATTCAGATAGCTGAGAAGCCACAGCAATCACAGAACCATAT